GAAATTATTCTCCACTTACATGCCTTTTACATAAGACTAGATAACAGTTCTCGCATTTGATTACAAATTGTGTTCCACAACATTGATCATATCAAAATATACTTCTCTGTCTCCAGGACTATTCACAGGGATAGTGGGGGGATTTTCTCTTTCCAGTTTTACTGTATCACAGTATTTGTGTTAAACGCAGTCATACAAAGAGCTTGAACTGGAATCGTGTTGTGGAAATTCATGATAGTCTGTGCACAGATTTGTGGACATAACTTAATAATCTTTACATTCCTCCAGATTTTATCTTCGTTAACATCACATCTGTATCAGTCATCTACATTTGTATGTTATGATAAAATGTCTGCAAATTGTTTAGGCAGGTAAAGCAGCTTTGGTTAAGGTTTGTGGTGTGTGTAGACAAAATTGTGAAATGGTAAATAAGACTTTCTGTGTATGATAAATTAACTAAAACATCTTTGTAAGAGTTGCAAAGTAAAGCCAGGTTCTTAGGGCTGAATGTATCTGTCTGTTGCAGTTTACCTTTAAGTCCAGTATTTCTGTGGTAAACCACTGCTGAGTTGTATTTTCTCTGCTGAGACTGAACTGCAGATAGAGCTGAAGAATCTGACTGAGCAAATTCATGTTAATCTTAGTGACTGACAGGTCAAGCCTCTTCCAGCCAGAGATTCCAATAAACAGCTTTTAAGATGGTGACTTAACAAATCACATGATTTTCTTAAAGGTTCAGGTGGAAGACTCCAATTACTTCACTATCCACCAAAAAGCTGCTGGCTATCAGAATAAAAGTGACATGAAGAGATCGTTCGTTTGTCGCTCTGTTGGTCGTTTTTTAATTCTGTAAAGTTACACTCCAATCAGTCTTTCAATTTGTGCATAAAAACCCCACACGGAGCACAAAGTTTTACACTCTTTATCACTGCTCGTGGTTTGACTGGAGCTTTTTCAATCATCTTGTTGCGCTGTCTACTTCTGCAGAGTGTATGTGCTGCCTACTGCAAGCAGCTGTTTACTGCAATGTACCAACTCCTTATCACACAGCACCAATGTCAGTAAACAATCATTTGCATGACGATTTAGTGAATTCAATAAAATGTGGTTAAAATGTGCACATTTGGATGCAAACTTAGCTTCATGGTTTGCAAAAGCGACCGTCAGTCTGTAATTATTTCACTTTACAGTGAAATTATAACAACGTTCTCAATAGCCTAAATAAAATTGTGCAAACTGTGCAATCTTAACACTGCACTTCTTAAAAATATTACTTGACTTAAGCAGAGGAATTGTTCAGCCCTAGCAGCAGTATTGGTCCTTCAAGCACCTTTATTCATTATGTAGCCCAACTATTCCTTAGCCTGGACTGGCACAGTAAAGTAGAATAAATAATATTTTCTACATATATGCATAAACCTTCTAACATAAAAACCACCACTGGTGGTCCATAAATAAGCGATTGTGCTGCTCTTTTGTGGCACAGTCTCAAAGATTTTGGCACATACTTATCATTATAGTGGCAAACCGACCCGCAAATCTAAACTACATGAAAATATTCTTTAACATCTATATTAAAATATTGTCTCCATCACTCCAAAGCAGTGTTGTTTACAGCCTGCAGAAGTTCTGACGGTAAAACTCTGACTGTGCAACAATCTCTGTACGGTCCTTCGGCTGAAGACTTAATCTACATTGGCCTCCTTCTGTCATTCTCCTTTGAAAACAGCATTTTTTATTTTTCAAAGATTTGATCTCTTTTGCGATTTTAATTGAAAATAGCCAAACTAAGCCACATTCATTTCACATGCAGCTTTGTTAAGTCAGCAGTATTCATTACAGGGTCGTCACGTAATGTGATAATGAGGCTCTACAACTTTTGTACTGCTCCAAATGTTCACACCAGCCTCTGCCTGTTCTCCACACACTTTCTGCTAAACTCAGCAACGACAGCAACACAACTGAAACGCACAAAACTAGACCAACGGTTACCACAACGACGGGCACTGAAACCTTCTTGCGCCCTTTTGATCAAACATAGTGTTTATTGTCGACCCATCAGGGTCTTCGCTTGAAAGCTCTACATCTTATTTAACTGCATCTGAGCTTTGTTGTTACCTGGAAAAGGCAATTTGACCCTCGAAGAGTAACTCAGACACATTCAACTATATACCTTTGATGTATTTTAGCCTGCTTGGGTAAACTGCTTCCTATAATGAAAGCTGAAATACTAGAATATTTGTCTTCTGCACTCACCTATTCCACCACTAAAAGCATCTCAACACAGTGACAGCTCTCTACAACCCTATTAGCAGCAGCAGCATCATCATCTCTATCATCAGCTAAATCTTCACCACGTTCCTGCACCTACAAACGCAACAAGCAAACAGACATCCGACCAGAAGCTTAAGCACACAGAAATCAGACAGATATCTACACAGCTGCAAATCTTCACTGTATTCTATCATTTAGACACGATCATCAAGCTGCAGTAATTGTGCTTTCTTAAATTCTACACCAGACAACAGGATCTGTGTTTCCTGGCAGGTTCCCTTCAGAAGTCATTAGTCCTGCACTAACACAGAATGTGACTAGCCCACAGCCACAACACTTTTCTTCTGATGGCACTTGGGCACTAAGTTAAATAAAGAATGTAAACACTGGGCTAAGAAAAGTTTGAGTAATATATGTTGGATAGTCTGCTAACTGGCAATTTATACATTTAAAAAGGTAAAAAATTGATGTTTTTTTGTCCACCAGCATCAATGGAGTGCAAATGTAAGAATGATTTGTACTTTATGAATTCAACCACACACGCCAAAGAAAATGTAGAGTGAGATTTTAAAGTAAACATTACAGTGGTACCTGAGAGCAGTAGGGCCACTGTTAACCGGGGAAACTATTTTGAGAATAAGTTAGTGATTATATTGTATTTTTACAAAAAAAACAACTTAAAATAGACTTTAAATTTTCAAAATAAACCACGTTAGATATTTTTTTGTAATGTTCTTCTTGAAAAAAAAAAATGTCTTTATTGTAATGATATCACCTTTTCATGTAAAATTACACAACTTGATGGGATTTTATTCATAAAACTGTGACCTAATCAATCATAATGTTCTTTTTCTTTTAAAATAAAGACAGATTTCTTGGGATATTGTTACTTTTACCTACATCATTTCACCTGTAATTTGTAATACTTCATTCTTGTAAATGATAACATTTGTCCTGAAACAACTACCTTTTGGTACATTTTTGTAATGATATAAACTTCATATATAATTATATTATATATTGCACAATTTATTCTTGTAACGGTTTGACCTATACCGCAAATTGATATTCATATTCTTGTAATATTAAAACAGTCTTGTAAAACTGCATTGTACTGCACAGTATGTATTGTATTTTTTCTTCTAATATTATGACTTTTTTGTAAAGTTGCCATATTATGACTTTGCAAAGTTACTTTATTTTTAATAATAGAATTTTCTTATTATATGAAATTATTATATTGCACTTGCTTTACACTGTATTTTAAATATGATATTGTGCCTGAGTTTTGAATAATTTTCTGGCAAAATTATTACTGTTATCTAATTTCAGCATTTGCTATAACTTTCTTTTCTCATAGAACTAACTTTTCCTCATCTTAACATACCATTTTAACTGTTTTTCTTAAAGCATCATCATTTTATTCTTAAAATATCAGATTTTATATATACTGATACTGATAACAGTGGCTCTAATACTGAATGATAGCTACACCCACAGAACTGACATGATGAGCTGGTAAAATAAAACCAAAAAAAAAAGAAAAAAGAAAACAAAATACTTGATTTTGTTCAGTCTTTGGATCTGAGTATGGTTTGCGTTTGTTCAGATGACTAACATGCTGCACGTGTCGGTGTACAGTACAGCTACTACACAGTAAGGATAATTCATATACTGCACATCATTAAAACACAGCATGTAAAAAAGAGAGCGCTTGTTTTTACTATATTTAAACACAATATATGCCCCATGTTATTGTTCTTATCCAACACAAACACAATACCACCATCAACTAAGAGATACTGTTATTGCCCAGAAGGGACTCCTCGTAGCCCGGACACAATTAAGACCGCGGGTTTAATTTCCCTCGTGGCCACCCACACCCATATGTACAAAACACATCACAGTTATGGGCTTTGAATGTAAAATTTCCATCTAAGGGCATGTGGTTACGCTGTAAGTTCATATATAGATGCATTACCTGTGTGTGACGACAGGGTGAAAGCTGGGAATATATGTATAAATGTTAGCAACGTTGTCCCAACCGTAGCTGACAGTGCAGCCGGAGAAATGGGAGAAGAGTCATTAGGCTGAATCCATCCTCGCTGGCAGGGAGATAAAGGACAGACCGGAGGCTGGAGTCTCTCCTGACGAGCGATTCAAAGGGTCAGCAGTTTATTTAGCCCATTGTCCTTGTGCCTGTGAAGCAAGTGCACTCAATTTGTTAGATTTACAAAAGATTTTCTGGCTTGTCCAGCAGTCCATGATAAAAATACGTAAATAAATAAAAACACAACGAAAAATGTTGAATCAAACTCACTATAGTCCTCCCTTATTGGGCAGTTGGAGATTGGTGGCTGGGACATTTGTTGTCACACTCTGTATGGCAACTGAAGCAGTGGATCTCCAACCTGTTGCTGATGGGGTTTGAGAAGCCAACAGTGCATTGCATGAGACGGCACGTATTCAGTTGGGTGAAAACCCAGCTGGGAGTGACCATATACTCTGCCCTGATTGGCTAGTTGAGACGTTGTGGAAATAACACGTTTTTGGCCATCCTCTATTGGCTAACCCTGGGAGAAATTTGGATTTAGTTCAATTTTCTTTAAATTTTAGTCCAATCTGAAGTTCTATGATTTAGCCCCAGTAGCATTTGCATTGCAATTTTGCACTGGTTAAGTATGTCAAATTGTTATCCCAGGTAAAGATGGATGACCTCAACACCGTCATTCTTTATAGGCCAGCCCCAGGGTGGGAGGTGGAGTGTGAGTCAGGATGGGTCTGGGTAAGGTAGGGGGAGGAGTTGGGCTTGGACGGCCAAACATCCCCTGCAACTGCCTGTTGGGGAGGTTGGGGTGATTGGGGTGATTGGGGTGATTGGGGTGGATGGGGTTCTCTTGAAAACTCCGGAGGTTTTCATGAAAACGGTTGCTGCTCTCGTTGTCGAGACGGTTGCCGTCGTCACACATGCGGTGGTTGTTGTGGAGGTCGGGGGTTGGCCCTCGCTCGGGGACGTGGACAATGTTGCCGCCGCTCTTCCTTCTCAGTGTGGACTCGCGGCTGGACGAGGCCACTGACTGGGAGTCTGAGCCGCCGTCGCTGCTGGCAGCCGTCCCCTCTACCGGGGTCACCCTGATGGTGGTGATGGCCTGAGGGTGGGGGTGAAAGGGTGGAGCAAAGGTGGCGGTGGGGGTAAACGGCATGTTGGAGTTGACAGCGTTGGGGTTGAAATTGGGATGAATGTTGTTAAAATTGGGATTATTGGGGTGATTGGGATTGTTGGGAATAAAACCGGGGTGCTGGAAATTGTTGGGATTGTTTGGATGCAAGGGATGTAAAGGGTGAACAACATGTGGATGGTTGGTGTAAACACCTCCTCCTCCCATTCCTCCTCCCATTCCTCCTCCCATTCCTCCTTCCCCACCGCCTTCACTCTCTGATTCGGTCCCTGCTACACTCCTCCTCCCATCCACCGACCCACCATCTCTCAGTGAATCACAGCTGTCCGTGTGTCTGTTCAGGTCATTGAGGTTAAACGCTGACTGTCGGAGGGAAGCGCGTTGATCTGGTGGTTTCCATCTCCAGGAGCCGCTTCCGTCAGTGCTAGGAGGTTTCACGATTGGTTTGTTGGATCTGGACTCTGGGTGGGCTTCGACACGGACTATACTGCCAGTTCTTTCTAAACCTCCTCCTACAAGAGCAAGATAAGTTAAAGATTCAGTTAACTTGTCTTTGTGCTGATGGAAAATGATGCATCTGCAACAACAAAATGCGGAGTTCCCCAAGACTCCGTTTTGGGGCGTCTTCTCTTCAACATCTACGTGCACCAAAAGATCACGGAAAACACTACAGGTATGGTTGATGAGGGACAATTCAACCATTCCTATTCACTTGCAAATGCTCAACACTTGTTTGCTCATCAAGGTGACTTTTGACATTGTGGGCGTAGACAAAGTGGCTGGTGTCTCTGCAGCTTTGATGTCTTCTATGTGCACATTGATTGACTATTGCAGATACTGATTGATCAACCAAATACTGTAGAACAATGATAACTTTTTTGTTCTTTTCTATCCAGTATGATGGAGCACTAAAGGTTCTTACAGCTGCCTTGAGTGCTGAAAGGTGCATGGGTTGGTGAGTAAGTAGCATCACAGGCACATGACTGGGTTTTATGTGTAAAGTTTCTCAGACAAATCTAATTGCATGCAAAATATCTTACCATGCAGACGACACAGAGACTAATATAACAATACTTTTAGAGACTACTGTACTGCACTGAAACAAACAGTGACTGGATGTGAGAAAGTTTTCTTGTGGAAATTATAAAAGTTTACACCACGCTGATCTTAGCAGACCCTTGTGGACTCACAGATGCAGCGAGTGACCAAAACATGCAGAGACAGACTTTTTTTTTTTTTGTACAATACATGCAGGACAACATCCCAGAAAACTTGAGGTTTGACACAACTCTTTTCTTTTAAATCAGAGCTCAAAACTTTTCTCTTAGCAAGTGCATTTTATTCAATTAAACTTTAGTCTGTTTATCCATATCTTGCACTGACTGTATTGTCTTATTCTATTTTAGCATATTGTTTATCTTCTTTTTTTTAACTTCACAGATCTGTCTTTTTATATTTCTTTGTTTTTTTCAAATGGCTTTTATGATTTATCGAAAGCACTTTAAATTATCTCCCTGCCTTCGCCTTAAGTCAGCTGGGATAGACTCCAGCCCCCCCCTGCAACCCTAGAGAGGATTAAGCGGTGTAGAGATAATGGATGGATGGACTTTAAATTATCTTGTTAAAAGGTGTTGAACAAATAAACCTCCTTACTACAAAGAATAATGTTGAATGTTTAAATTAACTGTGATCATACTTGTGTCTGTTCACTTCTGCTTTGAGGATAAGTGTTCAAAATCATTTTTCTCTTCCATTCGTTCCATTTTGTGTCATAAAATAATCCACCTAAGGGTTTTGGGGGATGTTTGTAGCTCAGTGTAAAGAGCAGAGCTGTCAGTCTTCTTTGTGTTTGACTCATTGGTTCATGGTTATTAAAGTGATGTCTCAGGTTAATGTAGAGATGATTCATTGATATTTGAATGGAAGTATGTGTCACCCCACAGCACATATATACAGAATATATGTGTTAGACTATCAGCAGCACAGACCTCCTCCTCCAACTGCTCCAGTGGTGGAGGCAGGTGGTGATGGGTCCTGGTCCGTCAGAGCTCGGTACCGAATGGATCCTGTGCAGCTGACAGTGCTGCCGCCGTCCTCCGACCGAGGAGAGTGAAGCAGACCCTGCTGTTTGGATAAGGCTATCACCTGGAACACAGGGAAGACAGAAAACTGTGAACTCCTTCATATGATGCTGCAGGGATACCTAACGTAGCATCAAACTCACCACAAAACATACAGCCTTTTAAGGTGACTAGCTTAAAGTCCTATTTTTGTCACCTGACTAATTCTTGAATACATTTTTAAAGAACATTGAACGGTCAAGCATCTTGGTGACATCTTGAGAAACTTCACTATTATGTTTTCTTGCACCACTTTATCAGACAAATGCTTGAGCTCTTCAAATAAGCATTTTAAATACCACAAGGTCATAACATTATAGTTAGAACATAAAAATCTCTCTTTGCACTTTAATCTAATTCAGTGCTTGTGTTACAAACGGATACACAGTTTTTATTTGTGATTAAATCTGATTCTGACTATCTTGCTTATTTTGGAAGTTAAGCTAGTAAAGGGCACAATGACAAAGTCTACTCTGAGTTTGAATGACGTCTGACCAGTGCACAAGTATAAACTTAAACTGGAAAAAAAACTAGGACAGTGTTTCTACATCTCAGTGCATGTGAAACAACTGCAGTTTGTGTCAGTGTGATAACAGATGTAAACAAAGAATCAAGTTTAACTTCGTGCCAATCCCAAGCAATTGAAAATGTCTGTGACTGGCTCTGCTCCCAGTCTGAGAACAATGCTAAGGACATCCTTAGTAAAAAATACTACAGTGGAAGAACAGCAATGGCAAAAAGCAAGACCATTAGATTTCCTTAGCTGGACAACAGCTGCTAGCAGAAACAGCAAGGGAAGCAATGACTAAAATTTGCTATCCACCTGGAATTAGCCATTTTTAACAAATCAGAGAATGGCGCGTATGACAGTTGAGCGAACACAAGTCTCTGCATCATCAGTTCCAAAAGTATTTGTTTCTCCTCAGGAGTCAGGAGCATTTCCAAAAGTTTTCTTTTAGGCATCCTAAAGTGGACTGCAAGGTGGATTGATGGTTAGCACCATCGCCTTGCAGCTAGAAGATCACAGGTTCGCATCCCGGTGAGGACACCCAGGATCTTTCTGCTTGGAGTTTGCATATTTTCCCCGTGTAGCGTGGATTCTCTCTGCGTTCTCCGGCTTCCTCCCACACAGTCCATAAACATGTTGAGGTTAATTGGTGATTCTAAATTGTCCGTAGGTGTGAATGTGAGTGTGCTTGGTTGTCTGTCTCTAAGTGTAGCCCTGTGATAGACTGGTGACCTGTCCAGGGTGTCATGCAGCATTCATGTAGGCATTCAACCTAAGTACTCAATGCTTTTACTTGTTTCACATCTCTTTAAATGAAACAAAAGTGATGGAACTTTGATAACGTCTAGCCCTCGTGCTAGTAGGTTTAAATGCAACAAGTAATTCCCTTGATTTATACACATGACACAGAAAGACAGAGGGAGTGTTTAACAGGCAAAGCAGAAGAGTTTCTAACCTGCATTAGACGTGGCTGTCCTCCAGCACTGAGCGGCCTGCAGGGGATGGTGGTCTTCTCGGCCACTCTCAACCATTTTTCCCTCACTGATCCACCTCCATCCATAATGCTGTCCTCTGATTCACTCTCCTGATCCTTGCAGGTGGGATTTTCCTCCTCAGGAATGTGAACTAGCTGGGAGGATCCGGGCCGGGACTGGATAGACACTCTGGCCCCACCAGCCAATCCGGTGCTGCCATTATGGACCATGTGATTATGGTTGGCCATGGGAACAGAGCTCGCTGCTAGTTTCATGTACTGAACTGGGATGTGGGCACCAGCGCGTAGCTCTGCTTCCTGGGCTATGACTAAAGGCAGGTGGGTCCCAGCGCGGAGCTCTGCCTCCAGGCCCATGGCAGATGGTTCGGAGGAGCAACGCAGCTCCATGTTCCTCTGAGGAGATGAAGAGGAGGCCGGCCTTATTCCATCCATCACCTGGAGAGACAGCTTCCTGTTGTCGTTCTTATTCTTCCATTGGCTGAGGAGCTGTTTGGATCGGGTCGAGTCCATTGAGGCGTGGATGGAGGCGTGACGTCGTGGAATACGACCCTCCTCCAGCGAGGACCCTCCGTGGGACCTGAAAGAAGAGACGAAGAAACTATAGGAGCAAGATGGAAGAAGAATATTGTGGCAAGAATGAGTTCATGCTCTCATTTGCTCACTGCTGACCAAGATCCTGATTACAACACTGCTATTATGGAGAAAGAAATAATTTGTGCCCACGAGTGACTAATTAATGCCGTACAATTAATAAACTCTTCAATTAAATTCATTAACTAAAAGCACAAATGACTCATTTGTGCATTCACCTAAAAATCTAGGTCAACCTTCTGATAGCTTAAAACCAAACTTGTCTAAACACATTAATAATACCAATTAAAGTTCATTTAATTTATTAATATATCAAAAGCAACAAATCTGATATTTTTGGGCACAAAGTAGTTTTATTTTCTCTGCAGTATCAGCCCGACTGCAATTAGTTTCATATTTGTATATACTGTAGTCTGTTAGTATCTGTGTACACTAGTAGCTAACTCTAATTATTAGTCCGGCTTGTCCTCCTAAATCGGTGTTACTTTAAGCTGCATTTTGACTGACGTTTAGCAATTTTGAGGTCGGTGGGAATAAGTGGGATTTCGAGCGTGGCAGTCACAAAGAATCACATCACCTCTTGGCTTCTCTTTCCAAAGCATTGCACTGTGAACCACAGCACATCCGAGGTTTGTCATGGAGAAAAGGACACAGCACAAAAGTTTGCACTGATTATCTCCTTACTGAAGTACTGCATCACTATTAAACTCTAAAAATAAATAAAGGCTCCGTTAACGCAGTTATTTTATTTTAAATTAGACACAATATTAAGTTGGTGTAATTACCAACATTATTATGTTAACGCGACCCATCAAATTAATGTTTGAGACTTAAACGCCCTGTCTTATTCATTATATTTTCATTTGTAAGCTTGCATCCATGTATTTAATTAAGTGGTGGTGAAAGAGCCCCTGAAACATTTTTAGTGCAAAAGAGAGTAAAGTATAACAGTAACAGTGTCCACCCACCCATAAGTACTCGTCATTCGTTCATGATTAAACCACCCAGCTTTCAATTTGTGTGTTATGACACATACTTAGTCAGTGTTTTTATTCCCAAAATGAGGGACTGATATATGGTCAGAATGTGACAGTTAGTTAGTTAGTTAGTTAGTTAAATTATTCAACTCTAAACTCCTGTAATTCCAGTAACAACTTTTGAAATGAGAAATATTTGCATATTTACAGATTCAGGATTTTTAAATGAGAGAGGAGCAAATGTCATCATACAAAATTTGACCCACATAACTGGACTTTCATGTAAAGACCGTGTTAGACACAAATGCTTCACAGCAGAGTGTTCCTACATATCTTCAAACATGTCTGGAGAGGATATTCATTTAGTACTAACTACCCTACGCGTTTTTTTGGGGTAATCTCTATGGGGTAACTCTATCTCAAACAATCAGGGGTCTTTTGTTCAACTCCTGATGTGCTTGAAGCATTTTTTTTTTTTCTTAGATTGATATTTTAAAGCTAATGCCAATAGTTGACTTATGCATCACCAGTCAGACTATTCAATCTACTTGTCCAATACTGCAAATACTGAATTAATGGCATTATGGGAAATACTGGTGGAAGTTTCAGACTTTTATCTTATAGTTCCTGAGATATTGTCATCCAAACATGGCCTCAAATTTCATTGTGCAAAAAACAAACCTTTTAAAGTAGATCTGCAGGCAATAATAAAAAAAAGTATATAAATATATATATCTTGGAAAGTATTTGATATATCAAGCTAAAAATTCACAAATATCTTAATAACTATTCATGTTTTATGCTATAAAAATTTCAGGCAAATGGGGCGCCATGGTAGCTCAAACGGATAAGATGGTGACCCATGTTCAGGTGCTATAGTCCCCGACACAGCGGTCACAGTTCGAGTCCAGCCATTGGCTCATTTGCTGCGTGTCCTTCTACTGCTCTTCCCCCCATGTTTCTCGCTTCACTATCCTGTCTGAATAAAGGCAAAAGCCCATAAAAGAAGAATCAATTTAAAATTTCGGGCAAATCAGAGAGATGGTTGAGCAGAAATTGTTCTAAAGGATACGATGACTTGAGATGGAATCACCCAGTGGTGACTTACTCAAGGGCTTGTGTGTTTCAGGGGAAAGCCAGTTCTACAGTGAAACCCCAGCAAATTCCATCAAAAAGCTTTTTGTGTCAATTCTGGTTCGGAGTGGTGCTTTCCGGGTATTTATCAAATGAGTTGTTGTCTCAGTTCCACCCACGCAGACCTTCATGTATCTTCCTCAGTTGAACAGAAAATTCTATCACCTCCTAAATCACTTTTCTGCTGCTCTCAGTGCAGATTGCTCATGGTAGCAGCAGAGCTGATTCAAAGCTGTGGAAATGATTGGAATCAAACACAAATTACTCTTATTTTCCAATATTATTCCAACTAAGTGTGTCCACACGGTCGGACCGAGTTAATAACAAATGAATAAGAAGGTGATTTACAGCATATGTAGCATTAATTATTATGCAAGCAATGAACTTAGTCATGAATATTAATGTAATCTATCTATTAGGATATTTCCTTCTCCAGCACATAAGATGGACAGCTGGGATGAGCCAAGCTGCTGATGGACATGAACCTTTCAGTCTCAATGTGTGCAGCCTCAGCCACCGTGTGGGAAGAAGAGGTCGACTGAAAGGACTCCTAATCATCAGTTATCTTAGTCAATCATCAGTTTGACATAAAGGTTTGACCTCTTATTCTCTTATAAAAGATTCACAAAAAAACGTCAAGAAGTTGTTGAACTTCTCCTGTAGCAAAATCTCAGCTTTCTGTTCATATGCTCAGTATATCATAGGATTGTTTTTGCCAATATTTGTGGATGAGCAGCTTATGCCTCCCGGTCTTGTGCTGGGTTTTTGAAGGTGTAGCCCCACTTCAGTTTACTATGAAGAAACAGCCAAAGCAACATTCAAATAATGTCCAAGAGTGATTCAAGTAGCCTCTGAAAGTGCCACACAAGCCTTACTAACCTTCTGAAGCTCAACTTAACCAGAGGCAAGTGTACTCTAAGCATGTGCTACCAAAATTAACTACCTGATAAATCCCAGGTTCGTTCCAGCTGTAGACTTCTACAAACCTGACAAATATTCTTTAACGGGCTTCTGGCTGCTTTGTGCAAACAGTAAAGTCGTTCACTTCATGTTACAATATATATATATATATATATATATCAAGCAAGGCAAGCGAGTAATTCACTGATGCTAGTATCACGGCTGAACACACAGAAGTGATATCGTCGTGTTTCTCACGCCTTTGTGTCCTGAAAAATACACGTTACACCAAAACAGCAGTTAACAGTTAACTTGTGTGTCTAAATATTTTTAGATGAAATGAAAAGGCAGAGCACAAAATCCAGAAAAGAAAACTGCACCGCCAGTTGATCAAGTGGATTTCTCAAGTCCCTAAATTAAATAATTTAACAGGCTAAATGCAGAAAACTTGTCCGAGAACAACAATCCAGTTTGGCTGAAATAACAAAGCAAACTTGTCTGCATGAGCTGCAGTTTTCTTCTCTGCTACTGCATGACCTCAAAAACCGTCAACAGACCTTTAAGGATTTGACCACTTACACTTTAAAACATAATTCTGGTTCATTTCAACCTGGTGTATTGACCATGAATGTGGTCATCGTGGCTCTTTGGGTCATACTAACTTTACACTCTCTACGACTACCTCCAGACTTTTGGAGAGAGGAGCAGTCACACAAAACACTGTATGTGGGGAAAAATGATCCCTGCAGCCTTCCAAAAAAACCTCATTTCATAAATCATTTTAAATATTCATTGTTTTGACTCTGACTAAAAGTAAACACAGAAATTAGCAACATGGAATGACCGTGCATATTTATCCCTGCACACAGGTTTGTTTATGTATATTTAAATGTGAGGCTGTGGTTAGCGTTCCATTTAGCTTGTGCTCATGTTGGAGAAGTAGCAGCTGCTCTGCAAAATGATCTCAGAAATAACTCCTCCCAGCAGAGCTTTAGTGTAAGTGTGAACATTTTGAAAGGGAAGACCATGCACACATGGTGACTATTGAGTTTACTGTTTTCTGTAATCAATAGTCGACTCAGAGCGAGCACTGGGCCAGCTTGTAAACAAAGTTTTGAAATGATTCATGTAAAAACCATGGTCTTTGGAAAGCCGCAGGGAGGATGCACTAATCACATCAACTTTTACTGTTTTCTGCAGCTCTTTATTTCCTACAATTTCTACAATGGCGGTAGAGAATGGAAGTTAGCATGACCCTTAGAGACAGTCCAACCACATTTATGGGAAATAGACCACATTTAACCTTTAAACAGATTTTTAAAAATCTGTTTTTTGTCCCAAACTGATCCTGTGGGTATAGACCCTTATTAAAAACAGCTACCTTGGCAGTGTGCTGCTGCTAAAGGTCATCATGTTGTCGCGATTGCCTAGCGGACTGGATGGACTTATCACTTCCACCTCAGCACTGGCTCTCTTCATACTGGTCATAGAGGGCTCCCGGTACGAGGCGCTCCGTGTCAAGATGGGTAATGGTTGGTCGGCAGACAAGGCGTGGGAAGAGGTCCTCGTGATGATGGGCTCTGGTTGGCTGGGAGCCAGGGTGTGGTGAACTATCAGAGGACAACAAAGGAAACTCTCTGTTCATGTTAAATCAGACAAGTGTCATCATAAACAAACATTTGAGGTTCAAATTACATCTGCTTCAATTCTAAAATGATGAGTTTCCCTTCAAGTGAGTTTATGCAAATTCAGTACAGTCAGTGACAAAATAAAGAGGCACTCCACAAATTTTACAATACGATCACTCTGCGGGTCTCGAGAAGTACTCCTCGGCTTGTGAAAACAGTTCTGTCATGGAGCATGGACTGTCGACTGAAATACACTACCAAGCTGCATCATGGGGAGTGTAGGAGCCACCATTTCAGGAGTCTGACCCGTGTGAGAGTCTAAAAATTACAATATCTCTCTGCTGTGTGAATTTTGACAAACACATTTTTTAATCTGTGTCTTGCAGGTCTTCCAACTTTAAAGTGCCCCTTTTAAATAATCAAAATGGCCTTTTTAAGGACAATTCCATCAATGCTGAGTAGTTTAATGGCCACTTAAGGCACTGAACACTTTTAACTATAATTAGTAATTAAAATTAAGTACTGACATTTTTTTTTTTTTTACCTCAATCAGCAACAATGCTCAAATTAGGAATGTGAGAAAAACAGAAGTGCAAGACCATCTCATTGTAGTATGAGTTGTGTGTAGTTCTTTTTCTAAAAATATATTGTAATATTTGATGTGTCACACTTAAAAAAAGAAAAAAGTCTGTCAGCAAGGGTGCCAGAAAAATACATTAAAACAGTGAAATACTGTAAAATTTAAAAAAATAAGTCAAAACTGTAAAAAGTAACCTCAAATATCTGTTAAATCATATTATTTCTTAACTGATACGTTAAACCAGTGTCATTTTATGATGATACGTTGTGAAAGAATAAATTACTATTTGTAAAAATACAAATTTTTTATGGGGACACTATTAACAGTTGTTTTTTTCAAGTTAACATACTGAAAATTATCTGTATTTTAACAAAACAAGGAAAATTTGTAAAATAACAGTTAAAAAGGGAACATTTTCAATCCTTAATAAATATAATCTTTTTTTCAATTCAGTGCAAACATCTGTAAAATAAAATTTTTAGCTGATTTAATGTCATTTTATGGTTAAATTAAAAACACATGAACTGTTTTTATTTTATTTATTAACATGTAAATTCTCTCTTTTTCTTGATAATTGTATTACTCATCAGCCAAAACAGGAAAAATAAGTGAAGTAACCACAAACTGTGCTGGGTGATCATCTGTAGCTTCAGCAGACACCTGGTATGTGTGGTTTTTACCTGGGTGGCTGTTGCTCACTGCTGATTGGCTGACATTGGGCAGGGAGGAGAGGGGGGGCTCTCTCAGGATCGGGGGAGGTGGTCGACTTCTGGATCGATCTTCACTTGGCTGGAAATTCCCCACAGCGTATACACCCTGCATATGAGAAAACACATGAGCACTTCTAGTTAAAACACAGTAATAATAATACTTTGCAATCTGTCATTTTAAAACTAAAGAGCAAATGATCTCCATGTTATCAACGGTGGAATAACACTCAGTATGTAGGCTGCTGATTAAACTTGCTACTTTTGGTTTTGTTTTGTTTTTGTGTTGTTGTTTTTTCCCCCCCCTAATTATGGCGTGATCATGTTTAAAATCAGGCAGTGTTCTTTTTTTTTTGGAGGATGACTTCATCAGGGCGCATAATTATACCCCAGATAGCGGACTGAAATTATCCCACAAGGCAGCCTTTGAAGGTCATTACCCAATCATCAGCTTCCAACTTGCAAAATGCCTAATTCAAGTCCCGTCTTCTTTTGTTCCATGAAAAACAACATAGTTTTTGTGATTCTTATAACCCCCATATACAGTCAATAGTTAAGAACGGATGAATGCAAGCAGATTTCTTACATCCTGTGCATGTGACCATACTGGTACCTACACCTATTGGTTTTAAAGACGATGGACATAATAATGGAGGACAAAAACACAAATTGTTGTTACACATACTGGCATAGTAAGCTTTTTCTTGCTCACACTCGGGAACAATCCACTCATTTTACCAGTGGTGAGAACTGCAGTATTCATCCAAAGTGAGTACACCCCTCTGTAATACCACCAAAATATTCAATGCTTCAAATTATGTCACCTTCCAATAACTGCATGACTTCTAAGTTGACAAGTAGAGTGTTTCCCCTTATGAACACTTCAAAACACAAACTCTGGAAAGGCTGGATTGGAAACAGAAGTGCTAATGTAGAAACTCAATGCAGTAAATGACCTGTAAACACCAGAACTTTTTCAGCTTTGGACCTGTGGGCTGTGTCTATCTGCATGTCTCCGTGATGGCTGCACATGGAAAAGAATTGCCCCAGAAACTAAAAAAATCTGTGAGATTTCACAAAGATGCAAAAGGATACAGGAGGATCAGTGAGCAACTGAAAATTTGTGGAAATATGGCTGTTGCAGTAATCAGGAGGTTACCAAGACAAACTCCTTGTGTGTGTGAGCTCACTTGGTAATAAAGCTTTTTCTGATTCTGATTTCTAATTCTGACACTGATTGCGGTATAGAACAGTCCATAGCACCGTTAATCACAGTTGCAGTGAGCATTCTTCTAAAATGACGCAATGGACAGTGCGCTACTTGTACAATCTAGCTCTGAGAAACTGACGTACAAGTGCTTCAGATTTGGCGTATTGTTATCACTGGAAATCTAAGTTTCTGCTCAGACAACGTGGAGGTCAGCCTCTATGGAAGGTGTTGCTCCTCGACACAAAACTCAGGCCTAATGAGATGCGACATGTTTGAACCTGGTTACGACTACCACAGTGAATGCATAGTTCTCACAGTAAAGCATGGAGCTGGGAGTGTGGTGATTTGGGTCTGGATGATTGCAAAAGGTGGTGGAGATATGATATTTATAGATGGCACCATGAACATCCGTGGACAAACCAAAACCAAAACACTGGCTGACAAAATGACTTCCAGTTTGCAGACGCTTGGAAGAAGAATATTTCAGCATAACAATGATCCACATTTCATCAAAATCACTCAATAGCTTGTACAGGAAAAAAGTGAAAGCTTTGACCAGGACAAGTAAGTCACCTAACTTGAATCCAATAGAACATCTTTGAGACAGGTTGATCAAAACAACCCCTCCATCAAAGAGCAGCTGAAAAAAATAGTCTGAAGAAGGGCACAGAAAGAAATTTGTGCTACACTGGTAACCTCCATGACGAGAAGGACTGAGTCTGTCATCAAAAACAAAGGCAGACGTATGAAATATAGAAAAATAACATAGTAGGTGCACTGCACCACAACTGCCATGTTAGAGCCAGAGCAGAGCCATGGCCAACATTTTCACATGGTATGCTTTACATCTTATTGGAAACAAGTTGCTGGAGCTCTACAACTGCAACAAAAACTGTTTAGTGGCAGAGTAATTACATTTCTGTTTTGTGCTATCAACTAATCAGCAGCTTTTCCTGCCAAACCTGACCCAGTGCTGTAGTGATGCATTACAGCATACAAACAAGTGGAGGCTGCCAGTCAGCCTCAAATGATCTGTTTTTCTTTTCATTTCTGTTCTACTGATAGATGTTACAAAGCACCTCAAAATAGCTCAATGAAGCCTGTACTGTGCAGAATCCTTGATGTGTTTAATCATTATCGCTACATAGTCTCAAACCACAAGAAAAGGGAAGATAAAAAATCTTAAGTTAATCACAGAGATGATTGTTCCAGGTCAGTAATGCTCCATTTGCATGAAAAGCTGGGCCTCTGCCAGTGAAACAGATATAATAAAACTGTGTTAAGTAACTGATTCTGCATCAGCTGATGGAGAGATGTTGTTCTGGAGCACAACCCCGCATATCTGTAGCCAGAGATTCTTCCTGCAGGAGAAGGTAGAAACACAAGTGTAGGCAGTTGAAGAGTGCTCTGTTAATGTGTGTAAATGTGTGTGTGTAGCTGTTTCAGTTCAGCCTCATGTCTGTGTGAGTGTATGTTGGACGTGTCTATCTGTGGGTGTGTAGGCTGGAGGGTGATGGTGTGTGGGAGGTATTATACTGTGCGAGTATCCACCAGCTTCCACAGAACAGTTGAACACCCATGTTTCCTTGCAGCCCTCAAAGCTGTACTGAACCACATGTCCTGCAGTGACATTATTACGTCTAAATAACTTTGTTATGCAGGAATGTGCAGGAACACTTTAAGAACCTACTTAAAAACAAAAAAACTCTGATTGGCTGGTATCCCTTTTAACTGTACACCCTAACCAATAACTTAGGCAACAGCACAGACAACACACTTCACATTACACTGATATTCAGTCCACCTAACAACTAGTCATCTCTCCCTCCACTATCTCCACAGAGCTGTGTCAGTGCTGGAAAATAGTCCAGCTGCACCTCATTATCATTCAGTTAAAAGAACAAAAACGCTCTGTCACAATCGACACAATCGCTTTTGCAGTGCTAAGCCCAAACAGAACCAAGCAGACTTGCCAAAACTTCCCATCTTCATCGTGTAGGTTGCTGCTAGGAGGTTGTTGTTTCCCATAGCGAAGATCCCTGTGATAAAAGTGCAGTGAGGCCTAGATCATGATGAGAGTATAAAGCCTCAAAAGGTCAAGGTATAAAGTTGTGTTCCCAGGAGATCAGTGGCCTCAATAAGTGTAAAATAGAAGAAGAAGTTTGGAACCAGCAGGACTCTTATAGAGTTGACCATCTGGCCAAACAGAATAGCCATGCATAAAGTCAAGGAGGTGACCATGACCTCAACAGTCATGCTCACATCCCTGAACAACATGCTAATATGCAGTATGTGCAATGACCGTCCCGCATAGATATTAACATATGTAGATATTTACAATTCTATGCCATGATGAGTTCACAAGTACTTCAAACATGAGTAACGGGTGTGGAAATAGACGCAGAGCTGCATGAAGGTTGAAACTATTTTTAAATGTGATGTAAATTCAATATTATTCTACTAAAAGACAAGCAACGAGTATCACTGAATGAGTGCAGCTTCTTTTGATGTGCACCACACGTCACTGCAATAAATCACACGTACTGGGCAAAGTGAAAGATCATCCTGTCCTGTCCATTATATCTGGCTCTTCCCTCCTTTCACTAAAAATTCCCCTGCAGCGTGTCCACGTCTCCTGTCTTCTGCCTGTCATCTCTGTATTTTCCTCGGGCGCCAATGTTTCTTGTCTTTGGTCTGACATTGGTCTCGTTTTGTGTTGACTCCATTGCTGCTGCACAATATTTGACTGAACAAACTGAATGTTCAACCCCAGCTTGGTGCTTTAACATTTTGCAAGTACCTTAGAATGTGAAGCATTTATGAAGATTTTGCTTTTATTTCAAAATAAAATACAAAAAGTCTGAAAAATGCCTTTGTTAAAGATTGATCATTTTTGGCATCACAGTTGTAGAGCTGTCACTGAATTCATTTGGATTTTTTTTCTTCCGTTTCTCAGCTCGTCACTATCACTGATAATCTGTTGTTTATTTATAAATCCCAGCTAGATTATATTTTGAAGCTGGTTTGAGACACATACTACAGTTGGTTCTGCCTAAAATAACACTGAACTAGAAGAAACTGCTGTATTGAGTATTACCAGATAAACAGCGATGGCAGCTCCCAGCAACCACCCACAGTAGACGTCAACAGGGTGGTTTCTGAACTGGATGATCCTGGTTAACCCGGCCAGGATGGCCAGCATGACGAAAGAGAACACCAGCAGAGGCTTCAACAGCTTGGCTGAGTCTGTCAACACCGTGTTGAAGTACATCTGAAAAACACAATTTCACATGAGACAGCCGTCATCTTTGCATATGTGTTGGCTGGAGATTTTAGGTGACACTAGCTACATCCACACTGATAGATTTTCATTTTGAAACATGGAGGTTATTTCAGAAACTGAGCGAAAATGCTCAGCTGAACATGGATAGTTTTTAAAACGCCATTTTAGAACAAAAATGTATTAGCGCAGATGAAGCCTTTACTAACTACTCATTCCACATATGTGCATGAACCACTTACTGAGATGTAGACAGCAGCAAATGCAGCCAGGGTCGCGTGCTGGGAGGGGAAAGACTTCCTATAAAGACAGAAAGAAAGGAAGGCACAGAGTTCTTTATGCTAATTATCATGTTTAGACAGCTAAGGACAATGCTGAATATTCATTTGGAACCGGAAAGTGACTTTCAAAGAAACTTGAAGGTATGTGTGTGTTTATGTGTCTGGTGCTCAAGCAGGTGTTTATTAAATGCAGCGTATTAAGTGCAAGAAGAAGTGCAACCAATGCTGTGTCTTTGATAAATGGTTTGTAGAACAAATGTTACAAAATACATCAAGCTTATGATCGAAAGTTTTCATATATCATGCTCAAAATAGAGTGTATGATACATTTATTAATGCTTAATGGCACATTTTGCTTTGACTGGCCATTGTTTAATCCACTAAAAATACTCAACTGCTCAGTAGGTCATATATAATTCCACATGTACAAATTATGTCACAAGCATAAACTATAAATACTGAGAGAAAACCAACAGTCTCTGTTTACACATTTGCATACAGAAAGATGCCCATATAATAATCCTGTTTACACAACAGAGATAATATTTTAATTACGCAGAGGAAATGGTGTTTTGAGATTTAATTTTAAAAAATACCCAGAGATTTTTTTTTTTTTAAAGCAGCTAAAGATGACTGAGGATGCCTGCTATACTCCAGATAATTTCACTGCGGAGCTGCTCGGCGGTCTGGTGTGGAGGGAAGCGCAGAACATTTCGTAATGTTTTCATTACGCCCGTTTCTGTGTCAGAAGGTTTAATTAAGGCATCCACATGTTTGAATTGTGTGCTCTTGTTCATCGCTTTGGTAAAACACAACATTTTTGTGATTTTGAAGCCTGTGCTATCGAATGCCGTGAAAATTGCTATGTGCACTTGACGATAAGTGACAGTTTAGTGGGTGGTAACACAAGCAACACTAGAGGACAAAATTGCACTGTGGTGCTTGATCTCTATATACACAAAGTCGACTGCAGCACTCATTCCACCTTAATGTAGGTACGTTGTCTAAAGCCACATAATTGTGTCAACATGCACAAGTGCAAAAAAATGATTTAAAACATAACTAGAACCTCTCTGTGCTGCCCTGCCATCTGGCTATCAGCTCTACATAAATGAACTCTTGACTCGAAAGCTTGCTTAGAAACTAGAAAAACATAACAGCAAAAATCTGCTCAACAAACTAAATGTTCTGTCATCGTGTTTTTCTGATGAGTGATAAACTAAATCCACAGCTGGTGCATCTGTGACTTCCAGGTTTAACAGGATATTCTAAGATACAGGATTTAAAGAAAGCTTGGAACTTTCCACTGTGTTTGGACACTGTCGATGGAGGGTACGTCCGTATCAAAACACCTCTACAGTCCGGCAAGTACTTCAATTACAACCCTTTAATGATGACTTATAAAGGTGTGGATGACAGTAAATCTTCTTAGTCTCTCCTCATAGGAAAGCATTTGCAGACTGCACACAGTCTGAGTGTCGCAAAGAAATCCTTGCTGTGCAAGTGATGAAATTTATGTCCCATGGACGAAGAAGGCATGAATCTGCTTTTAAAAGAACTTCTTACTGCAGCTGTCCAGCGCAGACAGAGAATTAAGTTACTGTAGTCAGCCATAGCATCTAGCTTTAGGCCTAAGCTTTAGTCTTACAGCTACTCAATGTGTTTTCTGTCCCATAAAAAACACATAAACCTTTGGTTCATGCAATGTTATGAAAGTATCTTTACCTCATCACTGTAGACTTGGTCTGGACAGTACAGCAGTAAAGTTTACCAACTAAACACACTGAGCCTATAACCAAAGGTCTCTCTACTTAAATAAATGTAGTGAACCGGGATCCCAATTAAACTGCCACAATGATTGTATTTATTTAATATTAATGTATTAATAATGCTAATAATGTCAGTATTAATATTACTTCTTTAACTCCAAACCTTACAAAGTCATGGCAGAATTTCCTCATCCACTAATCTGTTCTTCGTAGGATTGTAGGATGTTTATTGTATTAATTTTACCTGTATCCACCTATTTGTTCTGTTACTATGAGCTGGGTTGTAGCATGTAGAGATTTTGTGATTGTGAGACTGACAAAATATCCCAAATAACCCAAGAGAGCTCTGATTCTGCTCATACGACACATTTTTTAAGTCTTAACGGGCACTTTGATACTTTGGCAATTACTGCAAGTTCATCACACAACCAGGCACTTGACTTTGGAAGCCTTGCTGTTGGGACAGACCCTGTCTTAGACCACAAGCTTTTTTGGTTCCACAAACAGATGCAAACTACATAGATTGTTACGATTATCTGTCAGGACACCCAGCCAGCCACCGCAACTGTTTATTAAAGGTGGTTATTACAGTGCCACGTGAGCTCTTACGCTGTCGGCAAAATGATCACAAGCATATGTCTGATCTATTATTGATAAGTAGAGGATCTGATGGGGTGGTAGTGTGGTTACAGTGGTTAGCACTGTCGCCTTGCCTGCGTGGGTTCTTTCTATATGTTCTGATTTTCCTCCCACAGTCAAAAGCCAAGCACATTAGGTGAAGTGATGCCTCTAAATTACTCACACTGCTTGGTGTGAATGTGAGTGTGGATGGTTGTCTGTCTCTTCATGTGGGCGTCTTTTTAAAGAGTCCAGCGAGGACATCTCAGCATAATAAAGACATTTTAATCTACAGAGAGCCTTGGTTTGAAGAGAGTTTTTGTTGCTCTCTCTCTCTCTTTCTCGACGAGAATAAAAGGTTCAGATATTGAATGGATGGAGGATCTGAAGGAGACAAAAACCCTTGTCTTTCTTCAGTAACTTGGACTAATTAATATTAAAGACAGTAAACATGTATGAGTCACCAAGTTTTAATCTAGTTGAGTAGCTCAGTTGCTAAAACGCAAGAATGCTGAAATAAATCTGATGCTCAGTGATGAAGGCTGCAGGCAGCATCTAATACAGCTTTCTATATGGGGAGAGCAAATCTGTGCTGAGCAACCACTACGTTCTGCTGTAACAGAGGAAACAAACTTCATACTTTCTTAAAGGAAAACGGTTTTCTCCAGAGCTGAAGTGGCCTTTACAGTGAGGACTGGAGACAGAGACCAGCTTTGTGAAGCTGGCAGCAGCAGTGAGATATGAGGCTTCTAAGCACAACAAGCAGCTTCACCAGTGACAGCAGATAACAACTTATACAGTACATGCACAGTACACAGCATATGTATGATATGACAGCAGCTACAGAACCCGCCATCATGTTTGGGACAATGATGCACGTTGTCTTTTATTCGTACCTGTGTTCCATACTTGTAAACAAACAATTCACATATGATTAATTTAGAGGCGATTTTTTTTTAACAAGCAAATCAGGAGTAAGTTTAATATGAATCTCAGCTGTTTCTTGGTTGTATTGTGTTTCCTGAAATAGTGTGAAAAGACTTGGAACAGGCTTTAAGATACATTTTGTCTCACTTAGTGGGTGTGTCAGAGGTGTTATCCAATCAGCAGCGTATATATATATATATATATATCCTCGCCACATTAAAACCGGTAACGTATGAGCTTCTCAGCTGCCATAGTTACACTGTTTGCACAACAGGGTGTTAAATGCCCCATTGTTTGCATTTAAATAAATAATTTGCTAAGCTTTGTGCGAGCTGAACGTGCTCCTAATGTTTCTAAACGCCTCACAATTTCTTTTTCTGCTGCCATCCTGCAGTTACATCATCAGTGAAGACAAGCTGAGGCCAAAACACCCCCACCACCATATTTCCTTCCTTTTTCTTTCCTTCCTTTGCTCTTCCACAACATGCTCTTGCCATCGCTGAGGTTCATCTTGGTCTCTCAATCTGCCAGCTCTTTCAAATACATCTCAGCACAATTTCACCTGGCCACACCATTTCTGTGACTTACTGCTGGTTTGCAGGCAGTGTAGCCTCTGCATTTCCGTTAAAGAAGTCTTCAACACTGACGCATCCACGCCTGCCTCCTAATCAGTGTTTCTGCGCTGTTGCATTGGGGATTATTCGTCATTAAAGTGAGAATTGCTCTGCCATCAGCAGTGGAGGTATTTCTTGACCCAGCAGTCCCTTTGGGATTATTGAGCTCCCAGTTACATTCCTCTGGTGGATGATGTTCCAGACAGTTGATTTGGTTAATCTGAAGGGTCAGTCGATGTCTCTCACTGTTTTATTATTCTTTTTCAGTCTCATAATGCCTTCTTTTGACTTTCAATAACACAACTCTGGTCCTAATGTAGAAAAATGGCAATTTACCGACTACAAAAATGATCAAAAATTTGAAATTCAAAAAGCTTTTCAGAGGAACGGAAATATGACAAAAATATACATCAAAGTGCTGCCAAAGAAACGGGATGAGGCTGTTTCATAACACAGAACTGTTTGTTTTAAATACTAGAAGGCAGTTTTTTATTGATTTTAATATTTTCTGATATTTATTAGCTATTTATTATTTGCATTCTTTTTTTCATTCATAAGGCAGCTGGGCCTAGCATTGTTAATGCCCAGCTGCCTGGTCTGTGATTAAACGACATTTGATTTCTTTTGTTTTGTTTTTTTGGCACAGCATTGTTTTGAATACAAGTACTGTCTTTCTTATTACTTGAAAGCTCTATCCCAAGCTTTTTCAAGAAACAAAAAATGGTTTAGATACGGTTCACTGGTTTATTTTTTTGCTGTGGTACTGAAATTTATAATGGTCAATAATTTAGATTTCAAACCCTAACTGGTGGCAGGCTAACAGAAATATTCATATTTTCAATTTACCAGGCTGGTGAAGTTTCCAACAGTTTTAGTATTTGGGGACAAAAACTGATAACAAAGTAGCTCTTGACCCTAACTCCGGTGTTGTCTGTGGAAAGGCTCAACAGCACATGTACGTAATCATAAACTTAGAAGGTTCTATGTTGACACCTCTTTTATGGAAATGTTTCACTCCTGTTTTACTGAGCCTGTTTTATTTCGTTCCTTTATCTGCTTGTTTGAGTTACTTCCCCTAAAAAACAGAAACGGTTTGGAGGAGACTGTGATAGCGTGCAGTAAAATCACTGGCACTGACCTTTTCTGTATTATACAGAGACAGAGCAATAAAAAAAAAAAAAGAAGCCCAGTCAGTCCTCGCTGACAGCAGTCATCTCTTGTTCAGTGAGCACAAGTTGCTCCCATCTGGTCGCAGATACTCTCTGTCTAGGCCCCGGACCAACAGACTGTCCCTTTTACCAATGTCCTTTTGAACAGTATTACGTGATTCTTTTGTCTAGTGTGTGGTTTGGAGTGGATGTGGCAATTATGCACTCCGGTGTTTTTGTTTACTGCTGTTTACTGTGGGACAAATTGTCCCTCAGGGATAATAGACATTACCTAACTATCTACAGTCGTCCTCAAATGTATTCATAACCTTCCATTAAAGAAAAAGCAGCATTCACAATAGTCACTCAAATAACTAGAAACTGAAAAAAGTATTAATAAATTAAAAAAAAAAAAACTAAATTATAATTTAGTGAAATAAGGCATTGCTTTGAATTGTGGTTGAAAAGAATAATTAAAAAACAAACAAACAAAAACAGTCCCGAATAAATTAGAGCACTTTGCTGATGAGCAGTGGGCCAAAATCCAAACACCTGTCAACAGGAGCAGAAGTCTGACTGAGCGTTACAGAAAACATTTGATGGCAGCGATTGGCTCAAAGGGTTGTTCAACTAAATATTAGTTTACGGGTCCCATCATGCTTTTGTTTTTTTTGCTGTTTTTAAAAAATATATATTTCTGTTGAACCACAATTAAAAAGCAATGTCATGATTTTCATAAAATGTTTATTTATTATTACTTTTGTCAATTTCAACTTATTTCAGTGACAGATGGTTTTGGAGGCTATGAATACATTTGAGGACGACTGTGCCTCACCTACAAAAATAATATATCACATTTGCATTTGAACCCAATCATAAAACAAACTTAAACCAAATAAAACACTATCAGAAAAACATAAACAACATTCAGCAGACACCAGCCCTCCACTGAACAATACTAAAAAAAAGAGTGCAGACCCCTGATCCAACTATTTGTCTCATTTATTTCAGTGCTTGTCAAGAGAACAACAGTAGAAAACTCATCTATGACATGGCTCAGTCCAAAATCAGTCCCTATTTATTATGCAGCATTGTGCAAAATACAGTGAATAGGGAGTGACATTTTATTTGTGAGCAAATTCTGCAAAACATACAATAAAACTGTCCTCTTACAAAATTCCAAATTGGAATGAAAAAATGATTGTCCATGCTATATATACATATACCACCGTCCGAAATCTCAATTGACCACTCATTATGAAATGGTGACCTATCATTATAGAAATGGGGCACAAGGGTGATAGCGGGTGCAGGGCAGGACTGTGACAACAAGATTATACCGTGTGTGTGTGTCTGTTTGTGCAAAAACTACACATTAAAATAGATCCCACAGACACACATAATCTCAACACACCCACACACATCCTCTGACACACTGACTCATTCACTCACACACCCTCCCACACTCACTCACACAGTAATACAAAGCCTCACCTCCCAGCAGTGATGAGCCCTATGTCTTGTCCAGCGCAGATATCCTCCAGAATAAAAGCTTCATCACATGTGGACATGTTAATGTGGGTCAAGTTGGGTTTGCACACATCCAGCCAGTAGGGAGTATGCTGACCGGTGGACAGCTGAAGAATGTCGGTTATCAGCGCCGTCACGCACAGGCCGAAGATGTGGACGCCTGCCAAAAAAGATGCATTTGCGACGGGGTGTACTGGCGTTATACATCGTGTGATATTGTGCAACTGCAATTCGGCTTTTGTGTTTATCGCCTCATTTCAATGTCTTTAATTCCGTGTAATGGAATTGGTGTTTAATGCAAGGAAATGCATTTCTTTCTGGATGGTTGGAAGCTTCCCTGAAGCAACTGGGAAAGAGGCTAATTTTTATCACTCTTTTACTGTCCAGTTTAATAAAGTACGTGCATGAAGTATTACTGCGGCAAAAACTGAACAAATGAGGCATGGGGAGGTTGCCTGCCAGATGTGGAGTCAGTTTTTTGGAATATTTTGTTACAAGTGGGGCAGATCACAGAGTTTTTAAACTGATCAATATTGGCACTAACTTATCCTTGACTTCCATCTGCTGCCACACAGATGTCAGAAAGGTTTAATGCAAATTGCTGTACTTGTATAAAGCGTACCAGCTCTGGCCAGAGGACGTTAAGCATCATGAAAGTCTCTATCATGATGCCCGTTGCTAGCGAAACTCCCACAATGCTCTCTGCTTGCCAACACAGAACTTCCTGTCTTCGTAGAGACCGTTTTCTCCAGGTCACTACAGTAAGAGGAAACCAGGTACTACAGCTGATGTACAGGATACAAGTTTTTGCCGTCTTTTGAGGCCTGTAGCACCAGAGTCCATCCTGCCCTCTAAAGGCCACATTTCAGACAAAGTACCTTACCACGTCTGTAACATTCAGAAAGAGCTTGAATGCAGAAATGCAATTCTTCTTCAGTTGTTAAGCATATACAGTGTATTGATTCCAATAACTTGAATGTACTTAAGGCTGTGTATTATCTAATAAAATGGTCTCCTTTTTGTTTTAGGAGACACTAAATCTCAAAAGACTCAGATCAGATTGGGGGCAAAGAAACCTGATTGGGATGTATGAACCAGCATGTGTGCACTGTGTACGGTAAGCAGCTTGCATGTGTGAAACTAGCAAAGCGAGTTTCTTTTTAATTATACTTTTTACACAATAGTCATGTTTTTCAATTTCCTGACACACAGTGCCCCATCTCCCCCCTCTCTGCTGAAAGGGTTACATTTTTCTATCACTCAAACTCTCACTCTGGAGTAGAAAAAAATGGAAGGAGTTTCAAAACACATTTCAGATCACCGAGGTTCCCAAAGAAATAAATGATTGACTCACATTTGTACATAGAGAAACATGGAAACTAGGCATTGTTCTGTTTGTACCTTATACACCATATTTCTTTCACTCAGTTCCATTTGCCATCACTTTTACTTCATTTCATTAAAGGAAATTGAAAATGATGTTTCTGTTGCTGCTGCCTTTTATCACATATTTGTTTGTGTGTCCAAATTTCTTGCAGCCACTGAAAAATCTATAGAAAATCAGCTGTGAATACAATGCGTGTGTCCTCCCACCTATGAAGCGTACAGCCCTGCGAATGTAGGAGTTGAAATTACAGCCTGCAGCGTTGATGTTGGCCTCAGTCTGTGTGGCTGACGACCTCCTGGACAGATAGCAGTACAAGATGGCCTCGCCTATTAAAATCTGCACACACAAGAACAAAGAAAAGAGTGTAGTAATTTTTTTTAACAAAATTTCCAGAGAAAGACAAGAGAAAATGTGAATTACCATGAATAAAATGTGAATGAAAGTAAACCACCACAGAAGGACAAAACCTCAACCGTAACTCCACCCTTTAAGCTGTGGAAAACCTTTTCAGTTTGATCCTGGTCTTACATTGAGAAAGCTTGCTGTTTCCTCAACATTTCACACAGATGTGTTGTTTACATCTGTTCTATCTTTAGTGCAGCGCAGGCTTGGATGAAAGGTAAGTCACATGCGTCATATATATGATGACGTCTGTTTGCTTTTGTTGATTCTGCAACCTCTCCACCTCAGCTTAGTATTTGAACAATATTTCAGTTTTCAACGTTTGATTTTTCATGCACACATAGAAAATGAGCATAATAATGATTGGACACTAATTACTAGAGTGGGCTGAGATGTAACAATGACACACACTTTCAGACTGTGCTTTCTTAGCCGCCTTCACCTTGGAGATCCCTGTGCTGGGATCAGACTATATCTGTTAATAAAATGCAACTTTGCATGGCAATATGAGTGAGTAACCTGGAGAAGTTTTGGACAGAATGGTGTGCCACAGTCCTGCGGTGCAGCAACAATGCTGCAGACAACTATCGGTCTTCTGTGCAGACTTATGGTAAATGTATACACAAGGCCTGATATTAGCTTATTTCAGATGTGTCAAATAGTGAGCTGGCTGTTGAGTAACATGATGGAGAAGATTCAATAGCAGTGAAGTGGTTTGCACTGTTGCTGATGCTGCAAAGGTTCTGGGTTCATAAATTGCTGTTGGGCTGTGGCCTCTTCTGTGTGGAATTTGCATTTCCTGCCTGTGTCTGGTGCATCAGCTTCCTTCCACAGTTTGAAGACAAATTTTTGTTTCTAATTTGGCTGTGGGGATGAGCAAGAATGGTCATTTGTCTATTTGCACCCTGAGACCTTCAGCAGAACAAGCAGGTAGACGGACGGACAAGTTTAAACTATAACGTAAATACTGTATCTTGTTCACAAGTCCTAATATCTAAAAACATATATACAGTGCAATTAGGAAAACCAGTATATATATATTTGATCTCCAAAATCCATTATTAGTCTGCGTGTTTTGAAGCATTGGAATTAAAGTTTAGCAGAAATTTCTTTTCAGACTGTCAGAAGTTGGACAGAATTCTGAACCGAGAATTTAAAGCATTTCATTGCTTAGATGTTTTTTCTACTATCTCCCACTACACCACCTTGATTTGAAAAAAGAAAAAGTCATTACAATGAGCAATTTGACTCCACAGATGGCAGTTGGTTCGAAAGAATTCTAGTCATTGTGGCTTTTTCCATTAAATGTTAGCGTAGCATGGAGACAGCTTCGTGCTTTAACTTCTCCCAGCACGGTCAGACTCCCACAACATTATGGACACTTTTTTAAATCTGCAACATGTAGGAGATTAGCTGTGGGAAGATTTGCTGTCCCAGTTAAAATTCACTGACTGCATTTGTCTTCATTTTTATGTAAAAAAGAAAGCGCAAAGAGCACTTACTCTTCCTACTGGTCAGTCAGAGAAGGAATATTCAGTCACCTTTAGGGTTTATTCGCGTTCACAACGTGTTGATAGTAACTGCTTCTGTCAGTGTGGGTCACTCCTACACAGCCCCTCAAAGAAATCGGTGTGCAGATAACTCTGTGAGGTCCAGATTGGAGGCTGAAGAGGTGAAGGTTTACTTACAGTGACAGTGGGAGCGGCGAAGGCCAGGCTGAAGAGCAGAGGCAGTGGGCAGACTTCCTGTCGGGGCAGGATGTAGGGCAGCGACAGACTGCGGTCATTACAAGTGTACCCAGAATGCACCGGCTGGAAAATATCCGTCAGCTCCAGGAAATAAAGACTGACAACAGAGGAGGCCAGGATGGGGAGCTGTAGCAAGGAATACAAAATAAATAAGAAAACAGTTTAAATCATATTGTAATACCAGCATTATCACAGCAACACATAGATAAACACTTCTTTTTAACATTTTTTTTTTTTTTTGAGCGTGTGTGAGTTACAGTTTCTCTTGCGTTTATGCACAATTCCTCTGCAATAGGTAAAAAACGCAATCTGGCTTGTTTGTATTTCTTTAAACCAATCAAAGTCAACGTGGGCGGAGCAAAACAAAGGATGCGGCTTCGTTGTTCCCTCAAAATAGTGACTGGTTGAATTGTTTTGATGGAATATTTGCATGCAAGAAAACCAACACTATCATAAAAATGGATAATCCACTGGAATGAAAATAGCAGGGCTGTCTTTGTGCACAATCCAAATCCCCGGCAAAATTACATTTTTTTTTATGTGGAATAATACTGCTTGGAGATTGTTGTTGTTGTTTCCCTGGATGAAGCTGACTGAAATGAGCAGTCACTTACACCTGCATCCTATATCCAGTGAGTCACACTACTCCCTACCTGACAAACAAAACAATCCATTTAACCGTTACAGTGTTCCAAAGATGAAACGTCTTAGAGCTGAATATTTTAAGAAAATGAGGAGAGGGTAGAGGATACAGGTGGAGATAGACAGGATTGTCACATCTGATGACAAAGAGTGCAGGTACAACCAAATCATGTGCTGGTGCAACGTTTAAACTGCCCAAACACAAATGCAAGCCATTGAAGAGCTGTGCACCTTATATATTTTGAGAGGGTTTTGAGCTTTTATATCCATCTGTATGTCCCACAACACACTGCCCGCAGACTAGGAATACCTATTGTGTGGAAAGCCGTCCATTAAACGGGAAACTCAGGTAAGAAAAGTGTTGTACCTCTTCTAAGGCAGGATAAGGTTAGAACTGTACTGCTGTTTTTTACTGTTTTCATGCCAGCCTCAAGAAGAAAAAGATCCCACACACCGCTCTTGCTCAGCATCACAATTTATTGATCATACTGTTGTTTTGGCCTCTCTAAACCTTTATCAAGACTGTGGACCAGAAAGGCGAAAATGTTGGTACGATCAATAAACTATGATGCTGAGCAAGAGGTGTGTGGGATCTTTCTTTCTTGAAACTAGGGCAATACCTTCCGGTGCAACTGCATCTGACACAGAAAAACACAGATTTCATGCTAAAATAAGACAAGTGGTTCCCTGTGATCCTCAGGAGTTGAGGACTGGCCTTTGGGTTTGCACCTGTCACCATCTTTGGGTGTAGTTAGTAAAATGGAGGAACAAGGAGGAACGAGCAAGAGTCAAGAACCGTGAACAAATCAGTCAAGGAAAAAATGTCTCTAAACATGCACATCTTAAACCCTCTTAAAGTCCTGACATGGAACAATAGATGGTAACCGAATGAAGTGAGTGCACCCATGCCAGCAGTGTTTAGACCTCTAACTGGAGTCAGTACACTAATGCAGGTTTCTCACAATGACATGCTGGTGTTTAGCAGGGATGATGTTTACCAAGTCTGCCATCTTAGTTTAGCATGTTTGCATTGCTAATATTTGCTAATCATCACTAAACAGAAAGTACAACTGAGGCTAAAGTTCGAGAAAATTCTGAAGATATAAACCAAAGTGTTGAAAAAGCTGACATTTTAACCTGATGAAGGCGCTAGGTGTAAAGTTACGGGATCTGCACTTCATCCCCAGTGGGGCATTAATATGCATACAAGATACAACAGCAATCCATCCAATGGCTGCTAACAAATTTTACATCACACAGAAAACTCTTCTTCTGACTTGTATGAGTTAAAGGATCACTTAGTATTCCCGGATGGAGAGATCTAATGCAGTTAAAAAAAAGCGTCTAATTTCGGTTTAATGTTGATCAAACTCAAAAAACAAGCTGTAAAAATCATTCATGCAAACATCATGTTTTGAAAAGCCACAGTTTGATGTAATTCCATATCTTACAGAACCTTTTAGGTGAAGAACATAAAGCTTGCAAGACCCACTGAGCCACAACAGACATACTGACAGGAGTTGAGTAACATTAAAGGTTTTCTCAGCTCACTTCAGCACATGGAAGAGTTGAAGTGTGAAGCATTTCTGTTCTGGCTTCAGTGTTTTAGGCATAGTGACATCAAATTTTAATCTACACCACTCATAAATATGTGAAATCTGATCTGAATCATATTTGTCATATCAGAGGAACTCTGACTACACAATGTGTGACTTCTTTCATAAAAGGAAACTCTCAGCCTTAGCTCAACCCAGCTACATCTACACAACCGCTCAGCCACAACATTAAAATCATCTCATGGATATTATAATAGAGGAGAGGAGGTGGGCATCAGAAGATCGGAGGTTACGAGCGGGGGGGTGTAGTGGTGGAGCAGGCTGGTGAGATAGGAGGGGGCCTGGTTATGGAGGGCTTTGTGGGTGAGGAGGAGGATTGTAAAATGGATACGTTCTTTGATGGGGAGCCAGTGTAGGTTTTGGAGGACGGGGGTGATGTGGTCACCGGAGCGGGTGTGGGTGAGCAGGCGGACGGCAGAGTTCTGGATATATTGTAGTTTGTTGAGCTGTTTGGTGAGAAGGCCGTAGAAGATGCTATTGCACTAATCGAGTGATAAAAGCATGGATCAGGGTTTCAGCGGTGGAGACGGTGAGCGATGGGCGCAGATGGGCAATGTTTTTTAGGTGGAAGAATTATGTAGCTTCCCCTCATGCTGCCAAAGAGGCTCTGATCCATTGGACCACTGACATGTGACCTCTGGGGCGGGGACCTCCATGGCTTGCTTTTTCTGGCTTATCTCGCAGATGTTCAGTCAGACTGGGATCTGGTGTGTTTGCAGGTCTGGTCAACACACTGAGGTCTTTGTGCCTGAGTAGCTTTTGTTGTTTGTGCTTGTTCTGCTTGGTTAGGTTGCAGGTTTTCTGGAGTGCCTTTTTCATGGGGGGCTTGGGGAGCTTAAATGTTTAGGTGGTTGCTATATGTCAAAATAACATCCACATGGGTGCCAGGACCCAAGGTTTCCCACAGAACATAACGAGACAGTCAGTGTTATTCCCTTCACGTGTCAGTGGTTTTAATGTTGTGGCTGATTGGTGTACATGCAGTGATCGGCAGAGGTGAATGGTTTGGAGTTTTTCTTGTTGTTGTTTTCCCACAGACTGGCAGTGTGTAGCCAGTCAGCCCCTTCGACAGCCAGACAGTCAAGAGCAATGACACACCTCTCATGTTTGTCAGGTTAGCGCACACAGACACAAAGACACACAGCTGCAGTGCAGATAGAGGATTATGAAAACCCAACCGAATGGAAAAAATGGGCCCGAAAGCCAGAAATCTCTGCAACAAAGCCAAATATTCACACTTACACAGTCACTGTATTGCATTGCCATGAGCTGAACAAATTATGCTTTTTGCACTTTAATCTGTGTCATAGTTCATGTTTAAGATGATGTCAGCGTGGAAAATCATTAGCATCCAACAAATATGAATCAGTGTTGGCATCTGGAAATGGCTCCCACTCTTGTTTAGGAAATATTGATCATTTTACCCAGACATTTAACACTGTGTGAAACCCAGACTCCTAGAAATGGTGTTTTATAATCAAGACATAGACAGGGATTCAGCTACCCACTCTCTGTTTGCTTTGCTGGAGTTGTGGGACCGACACAGGAGCACATACTGGATAATGCGCTGTGTACACAATCCATTTAACTAAGTAGTACATTAAGAACAGCCTTCCTCTTTTATTCAAATGTTTCTCCTCTATTGACATATTTTGTTTTCAATAGCATTGGGTAGCTCTTAACGGTCCTAATATTTTACATGTATTACATTTTAGAAACTACCACGATCCTGTCTTGCCTGTTGTAGTATTTTATGCTACTTTATTTTGTTTTACAAGTTGATTTTACAAGTCTTATTCTGTCTTGATATTCGCATGTCATTTTGTTGCTGCCTGAGTGATAACATGTACAGCGCTATGGTCAACACAGGTTGGTCAATAATCATAGGATAGTCCATGCAGACTATTTATTAGATTCAGTAAAAGAAAAGAAATACAGACAGTGACGTGTCTGGAACATCATGTAGCAACATGGTAATATTAAAAACAAAAGATTTTTTATCTAGTTCCTTGCTGTCTGGATTGTCTTGACAGAACATTATGTGTGTCCGTTATGTTCCACACACCCAAATGTCATTGTTGTACTTTCATCCTGACACAAGTTAATTACTACTTTATCCGAATAACCTTGTGTAACAACCCCGAGGCAGTACAGCAAAGTTGTTAGTTTGCTGTTTTAAATGCAAAATACTAATTGTGTCCTCCTACCCTTGAAAAGTGTGTTATATTAACTCTAACATAGCTGCATGTAGAGCTGAAAAGACTCGTTGGTTCACCAATTAGCTGATCAAAGGACAATTAATCAAAAACAAAATCAAAAGCGCAAAATTCTTTTTGGCTCTGGCTGCTAAAATATTCAAATTGCTGCTTCTCTCTGTTTTGCATCATTTTAAAATGAATATCTTTTTTTTGCATGGCGCCTTTTTCTGACATTTTATTGAGTAAATAATAAAATATAAAAATGACAGCAACACCAAGAAACTGCACATTAATCACTGGCAGCAGTGAAAGCTGCATGATTTCTTGAATATTAGCACACTCTTTCCTTGACACCCACAAAGATGCCCTTTGATAATCCTGAGCAGTATGTCGTGTTTCCTTACAAGCTGCAAAATGATGGATACTGCCTGAACATAGCAGATTCTGGAGTTACAGGCTGCGTCGAGCCTTGTTTCCCTGCTGTTCAAATTACCCACTACAAGATCTGCCTTTTCGCCTGAAGCACCTGCATTTCTGACTGCCAGACCTTTACAAAGACTTGTTACTGACTGAAACACTTTCCCCAGCCTGTGAGCCTGGATCACCCACCAGGGTTGCTACAAGTTTCTTGTGATCCCGAGAAATACCCATGAACAAATCTTTACTGTCG